GCTATTTGGTCAGCACAGGTGAAACAAGCTGGGGCTTGAGATTGGTTTTGGAAGTAAGGAGCAGCCTTCTGGGACTGAGCCCTCGGCTTGTGAGATCTAACACTCTCTCTGGGTAGATAGCTTCAGAATTGAACTGGAGGACATCCAGCTAGTGTCTGCTGCAGAATTGATTGAGTGCCGGGTGTGTGGGCAAACAGTCCCAGACATCTGGTGTCAGAAATGTGTTGTAACTTTGGTAGGAGAAAGTGAGTTTAGTTTTTTCCTCAGTATTATCAGGATCAGAACAACGTTTCTTTAAGTGTGGACCCAGACAACTGGCATCAGCGTCACCTGGAGACTTGTTAGGAAAGCCCATACTCAGGCCACACCCAAGACCTACTGCCTCAGAAACTCTGGGGAGTGGGGTCCAGTAATCTGTGTTTAACAAGCCCTCCAGGTGATTTTGATGCATAGGGGGTTTGGGGACCACTGAATCAGAACAAGGGTGAGAATATAGACAGGAGACCTGATAGGAATTTACAATATGCCTGGTGAGAAATGGTAAGGCTATCAATGAAAGTGTTGGTTATAGTAATGGAGAGGCTGGAGTAGACAGATTGAAGTAAGTGTTTCAGATGGCCATGAACACGGTAAGAGCACCAAAGACTCAGTCAGCACTTCTGGAGGGGAGGGGAGTGGTGCTTGATAGAGAAAGTAACAATGACCTGTGACTTGACAATGGATCTGATGGATGGAATGAGATGGTGGGAGGGGCAAGGCAAGCAAAGTGCAGTAACCGGCACCCCAAGGACTTCAGTGTCTCTTGCTCTGACTCTAAGTGAAATCTTGCCTAAGAAAAGTGTTCCCAAATGATGTCCCTGTCTCAGTTCACAAGCCAACAGAAACCCCAAGCTTCAGAACCATACATATATACAAACATACCTCCCAGCTATCTAGACAACTCTGAATTTGAGCAATTATTTACCATAGCAGTCTGTTTTGCAACTCAACAGCCATTTCCCCTCTTCTAGTATCAGAAAATTAATCTTGTTCTAGGGGGCCATGGGCCCAGCCCTCAGGGTATGAATGATGATTGAATAAATCAAGCATAGCAACTCTGTTTTCCCTTTGCCTTTGATGAGGCTGAGCTTGTGACCTAGTTCCAGCCAATGAAATGGAAGGGTAGGTAAATCAGCTGGGGGCTCCTTGGAAAGGTTTTCTCCTTTTCGAGACAGTAAAATATCTCTTGTGTCACTTCTGTCCTTTATTACTTTGCATGATGTCATGTGGGGGAGTGTTGCTTGAAATGAAGGGACAAACCTGAGAATGGAAGGCCACACATAGAGGATGGCAGAACAGAGGTTAAAAGGAACTTGTCTGGGCCAAATTGGGATTAGCCTACATCTTGTCTTTAAGCCACTCTTAGTTCTGTTTTGCTTTACTTACAGTCAAAATCATCCCTGATTACCCACCTTTTTCTAGGAAACTACTGGGGCTACACTCAGCTTGCTTCTCAGCCCTGTTTACCTGAGAAAATCTGGACTTTTAAGCCTCAATTGGAAATGATTTGTCCGCTGTGCTTTGTGAATCTCCTAATCTGGGCCTACCCCTTCCTACGCCCTCTAACTTTACCTCTCTACCCTCTGAAATCCAACTTCTGCTCAAACTCTCTTGTCCTCTCAAGCTCTGCATCTTCCTGTTCCAACTGACCCCTGTATATCCCCAAACTCTGTTTTTCTGAAGTACTTTCAAGTAGAGCCTGGTTATTTTTTCCTCCCATGTGGGCATGCATTCCACAGTGCCTGTGGGGTGGGTGTCTTCCTCATTCTTCACTGTCATTTCCATTATTTTTGTTGTTGTTTCGTAACAATCACAGCTCTTTGAGACATAGCACATGGCCTCAGACTCTACCACCTAATTCTACCCTGAGTTGCCATCTTCTCAAATTCTAGAATACTTCTCCACATTCTTTGATAACTTCAGCCCCTGGCTCACTTTCTCTCCACCATTCTCCCTGTTGTTATTCTTGCTGACTTCAACATATTCATTACGTCCATCCAAGACTTGGGTCTGTTACTTCCTTGACTCTTCAAATCCAACAATCTTGTCCTCCATCCTACTCAGCTGTGACTATGGGGAGGAGACGGAGAATCAGTGGGATGTGGCCAGAAGGAGTCTGTCTTGACTCCTAAACCCAGCACTCCTTTGAACTATACTATGATGCCCTCACAGCCAGTCAGTATTTATGGAGAAATCAACTCTAATGTCTCTGTATTCATTAATGGCTGAACTGGGTACAAGTTGCTTTTATTATTATCTTTAGGTCAAGATGTCTTGGGGAGAAGTATCACTGAAGAAAAATCAATAACAGCCTTCATAAATGTCAGCATAAAATGTCATTCAAAACAAGTATAAAAGGTTAATGACATCTTGTTTTGAGTGTCTCAAAATACATCATCAAAAAGAGGCTACAATGACATGTTTCCCATGACAGGACAAAATAATTAGCCAAAGCTATTTAAGCATCTAGTAAATATATGAAAAAAAGATCCTATTAATCAGGCCAGAATCAAACCAAGTTTTAGGTTGTGTGCTCAAAACACACCCACATTTTCCGGTATAGTGGGTCCTTTTCATACACGTGAGCATTCAGTACAATCATCAAACTTGTCATTGAGCACTAAATCAGCAGAGGTCAGGAAGGGGCAGAGAGTATCTAGTAAGAAATTGTGGTAAAGTGCCTTTTTATGGAGACATTGATGGAGTCATAAGTTTTCCAAGGAATTAAGTGAATACCCAGAAGACAAGTTCAGATATGCCAAGGCATCTCAAGACAAAGGCTTAATACCGATCTCGGGTGGTAGTGTCTCTTTGGTAACTATGGTGAAGTTGGATGAGCTTAAACACTACGTGTTGGAAATTCCTTGAGAATGAATCAGTAATGAATCCCTTGCCTTTGGTGAAACTGGGCTGAAATATTTCAGAGTCAGATTTGGAAATCTATGCTTGAAGACTTCAGAGAAGTTTTAGCTAAAAAACACAACGTCAGCCCCTCATTTCCTTAGGAAAGAAAGAAACAGATAAACCAACCATGCAACAACTGTGAAGACCAGTAAGTCTCAGGAGCACTGACTTCCTGTAGGATTGGCTTTGTTGGTATGCAGGGGTTCTGTTTCAGTTTATTTCAGCCATTTGGCCATGTCTGGGAAAAGTTAAGTTGTTCAACTGTGTGGGCAAAATGCTGTGGCAAATATATCTGTTGCCACTTAAGATAAAGGCAAAAAGATGTGTCAACATAAATTGATATTTATAGACAATAAAAGATATTTGTGATATTAGCATTTAAAATTGTATGCAGAATTAGCTTCTTAAAATAAGGTGATGTGTTCAAGCTCCAAAAGATACCTTTTCATGGTTGGGGAAGGCACAGTGCAGAAGGAATAAAGTATGTACTTGTATGCATATGTGTGTGTGTTTGGCGGAGGGTGGGGATTTGGAATGTAAAGGGAAACACTGTCAGCCAAACAAACATGAGCTGGAAAAAAAATTGAATTATTTTGGGTACATGTCAGAGAAAACTGCTATTCCCACTATGACGGAAATACTTCTGAGGGAAAAACACCTCATGGTCTGCTAATATTAGGAAGAATTAATTTATTACTATTCCCCATTTGCTTCCTTTATAAAATAGGTTGCCATGAAAAAATTCTTTATATTTTCTTTATATATTAGGAAACCAGAGTTGCAGCTTGAGTATGAGTAATGTTTTTTAGATTCACCTGAAGAGAAAATAAAGTTTTCCAAAACTTCAGTTTATTTTAATACACTCTCCCTTTTCTTTCAGAAAACCCAAAAACCTGCAAGACCCAAAAAAGTCCTGATTTATTTTAAACTTTCATAAAACTTATTTCTTCTCCATAACAAAAAGTCTAGTTTCTGTTTTGCCTTGTCAGAGCGGCCTTTTTGTTTGGGTAGTTTTTTTCCTTGGAGACATCGCCCCCTGCTGTAATGCATGCTTAGTTGCAGAAGGATTTTTTACTCAATATGAAGACACAATCATTAAAGTGAAAGAAACTTTATTTTGAATAATAATGTACATAGCATTCAGTCCATTTAATTCTCATAGTGCATAGCAATGTATGGAAGTATACAAAAAAAAATAAACATCAGAAATACCTAAGGGTGGAATTATATAAGAGAAGAAGACATTCAATATATCCATAACAGGCTTATAAGTATCATAAAACAGGATCCATTAGAAAAGAATGGAAATCATGCAAAAATTATATCTGAACCATGGAAGGCAAGTGCAATAAGTCATGGTTTCCTAGGTACAAAAACTATACATGTTCTTTGGATTAAAAGCAACATAAATGAGTGGCTTGGCTTTTATGTACAAGCCAAAAATCATCTAAGGAAGTAAAAAGTGTGGATATTGTTATGCCACATGTGATAATAAAATATTCAAGGCCACAGATGGAGGTCACCAACTTACAAAGAGAATACTGAGAGGTAGGGTACATAATAAAAAAAAATAAGAGAAATGCAATAAAGAAAAGGCCACCTCTGCCTAAATCAGGAAATGGCAAATGCATAGGCATTACAATAGCAGCTCTACATACTACACTGCATTTCTATTTTCTGTGAAAAAGAATTCACTGTGTATCATTACAAAGATTAGTGAATCAGAAGAGGCAATAAATGTAGAGCCTTGGTATTAGGGCAAATTTAATTTCCTTTTTATTTCTCACATGAGGGGAAAAAGAATATAGAACTAGATATGTTCATCTTTTCACTCAGTACACTAACTTTTAAGTGTTTTATGTATACTCTGTTTGGCACAAAGGGGATAGGGAAATTAAGTTTAATTAAAACCCAACTTTCCAACTCACAAATTTGACATTTATAAAGCTAAGGAAAGATAAAATTCTTTACCATTTTTTAAAATCAATTGCTTAAAGCAGAGTTTAAAAGTTGAGACGGAAAAAAAATTGATAAGAAAAAATAGCAAAGAAATATTCTGAACAAACTCTCCTGGTTTCTTTTACACTTTCTCTTTTGCCTTTTATTTTTTCAAATCGGATTTTATAATAGAAATGCAGACCACTTTGGATAGCTATGGCTCAATACTGCTCTCCTCCTAAGACATCATCTTCTTACACTCCACTGAACAGAAAACCATCCCTTCTACTGGCATGAACTTCTGCCCAATGAGACATTTGCTGCAGCAGGAGCACAGGAAACACTCAGTGGATGCATGCCAGCTGAAATTGTTGTAGGTCACCCGCTGGACTTCTGGATCAATGGCATTGTGGCATCCTTGACATATCTGTTAAGAAATACAAACAAGAAAAAAGAATGAGAGATCAAAATGTGACAGCAACATTTTCATCTCCTGACAAACTGAACATGTTTCTTCAGATGATAAATTAAAACTCATAATGACAACCCTGGAAATATACAACTGAGAGTTAACCTTCTCAAGCCTTCCTAGTTAACCTTTTTAGCCAACAACTGTTACTGGAAGTCAATATGCTGAGCACTATGAAAAATAACAGGTGAAGGCCAAACAGGTAATTTGATGCTTGTAAGATATCTCCACGGCGTTCAAGGTGGAAAGTCTTGACAGCAAATTCCAAAGCACTGCACTTGGTTCCTGCATATTCTATTAGACTGTACAGTAGTAATTATAAAGAAGTTTATAAGATGATTTTTCCTCATTCACTACAGCTTTGAAGTGGTAATTTTACCAGTCTTACCTATGACACATGAGATCATTAACCACTAATTTCTAGACAGTGGTAAATTAAAATCATGTTCAAAGTAATTAAGGATTCAATTAAAAACACTGACAGTGTTTGAGAATAATGAGTTTGCACTAAAATATAACTTGTAGTTAATTGGCTTCTGTTCTGTCATAAGATCAGTCACAATTTATGTATAATCTAATACTGTAGAACATTAATACTTGCAATTCCTATACCATTCAGTATTATATGTTATGGACAAATATATACATGACACCCACATGCATATATACATACACAAACATACATTTATCCACAACCACACAATTTTCTTCTTAATTATGTATATGAAGAAAAAAATGGAATAACCTTCTATAATTATAGCAGAAAACTGAACACCAACCAGTTGAGACCTCCAAAACACTGGATGGTCCATATGCCTTCTTGGTTATACGTGTCCTAAGTGAATGTGACTATCCAACATTTTTGTTTTAAATATTTCATAAGAAGCAAAGAAGCCAACAAGATCGTCCAGTATAACATGGCAGTGCCTAATTTATCTTGAGCACCCTTGGTCTCTCAATGTGATTGTCAGAAATTACTGAGAGATGAGGGGCAGGATAGGTGGGCTGAGGAGGGTCATTTTAATGAGCCTCCTTACTATAAATGACCCTCCTTACTTGGAACGACTTCAAAATGTGACTGCTACTCAGTGGGCAAACTGGTGTAGGCAGGGAAGTGAGGCCTTCCTACACACATCCATTTCAGACCTGCAATATACTTTCCATATTTTTTAGAGCTACATTGCTTCTGGAGATTATATCTGCAACCTATAAATTATATCTGCAACCTATAAATTATATCAACCCAGTCTTCCCTAAGAAATAAGGGAGATACTTTCTTTGCATAATTAATAAATATTCCTGAATACAACAAAAATAAGTGTTATAATTACAAGCATACTCCTAATCTGTAGCTGTACCATGCAGGCAACTCCTTTATATATATATTTTTGTATATATTTATTTTTACAACTTTATAGTAATAATTCATTTAGAATGTTATCTTATAGCTTTCTACATTTCATATTAATCTTTCAATTTTTAAATTTATTTTTATGATTGATACAATAATTGTACATATTTATGGGGTACTATGTGATGTTTCCATACATGTATACATCGTGTAATGATCAAATCAGGGTAATTAGCATATTCATTATCTCAAACAGTTATCATCTCTTTGTGCTAAGAACATTCAATCTTTCAATATTTTTAAATCTGTTTACAAGAATATTGTATAAACTCATTTGTGTAAATATTTCAAACTTGTTTGAGTAAAAAGAGAAGGATTTCACACTCAAAGTTTTATTCCCTTGCTTTTATTTTTTTCTTTTTCATTTTATTTTTATTAAGTACTATATAACATACTGCATGCTACATAATATATTGTATAACCTTCTAGCAGGAGTAGATGACCATTACTGAGTTATTTTTTCATCAATCAGGATAATGCTGCTTTAATCAATGTTCTACAAACCCTTTGACTCGTAGTAATGATTAACTCCAGAGATGCACCTACCTCTTTCCATCAAACTCCAATGATATACGAAATGGGCAATCCTTTTTTCCTTACCACCGTTAGTGAACCTGTGGATGTACGCAATGGCCACTCCGGGGATGACCAAGCACGTGCCCATGATGGCAAGTCCAGGCAGAATCTCGAACCACATCTCGGCAGCTAGGCACCCGGTTACCCAGGCCAAAATTCCTCTTCTAAGCCCCTTAAAGGTGACCCGGATTCAGCTCCCTTCCCGGTAAGCCCCCTATTCCCTTGCTTTTAGATCATGATCTACCGTCTTTCTCTCAGCCCTGTAATACTATTTGTGGATCGTTTTATAATTATTTAAAACATACATTTTCATTTGCAATTTATAAAAAAGAGATAACTACTATTCAATTACATTTGAAATTAAAGAAATTATTTAGGTAAAAAAATAACTAATGAACACATGGACAGTATAGAGAATTTATGGTTTGTGGTTTCATAAAATTTAGTTTTGTTAATGATTTGATTACGATTCATCACAAAGTCTGACATATAATCCCAGGTAAAATCTACTGATCACTAATTCTTCAAAAATCTAAAGGTGGTCCAGGCTGCCTTCAGGGTCTGGGGACTGCAGAACCCTTTGAGGAGATGATGCACTTTACCACTTTCTGTATGGCATTTGATTTTCTGATGTTCTTAAACCTCTAGTATTTCAAAGAGTTCTTATTTCCCTCAATCCCTCTTTTATTTGTATACAAGATGTGAAATAGCCAGTGACACTTGTTGTAATGAGCTCTCTGGCAGGAGCATCCTGTGAAATCTCACAGATGTGAATTCTGGGAGTGGCCATGTAAGTCCAGTGATCACGCACAGACAAACTAGTTACAATTTCCATTTTCCTCCTTCTGGGTAAATTTTTTCTCAGAAATGCCTTGTTCGGAGTTGAGCACTTGGCTTCAGGTCTAAAAATAATTTGAATTCTCTCTCTCTTTTTTAAGATTAAAAAATCTAAGCAGATCAATGCCCTGAACAGGATAATTTTCAAAATTTTACATAATGTATTAATAACATGCTGCATGGGGAGCTCTCTTTGCTGTTAGCGGGAGTTTGTTCAAGCAATGGATAGATATGCTCATTTTAATATTAGACAAAGGCCAAAAATGGTCTATCTTACTGAGAAAGTAAACTATCAAAATGAAATGATGCCATATTATAAAACCATAATAAATAATTTAGAAATTTTTATTCAAAAAAATCTTATCTGTGGTTATTCCCTACCATTGATTAGATACAATCTAGTAGAGAGAAGCTTATAATAGCTAAATAAAGCAATTTCATTTGCTTAAACTTTTATTTAATAAATATTTTTTGGGCACCTTCTATATTGTCTTATTGTTGGGAATAGAGCAGAAAAAGCGGGAAAAAAAATCCCTGCCCACATCAGGTTGACTTTCTAGTCCTTAAGACCAAGGTCACACACACTACAAAGAAAATACACGTTATGATAACCCTCTTCTGTAGAGAAACTGTTGCAACAATATTCATAGAAGGAATTTTTATCTAAATAATGCATCGGGCTACATGGTGATTTAACATCTTGTCTCCAGGTAAAAGAAAGGTCCATGGTGATCCCAAAGCAAATTGAGAAATACCAGGAATAAAAGTCAGTCATTCAAATAGTTTCTAAGTATAGACACTGAAGATATGGAAATAAGATAAACTCTACCTTCCAGTTGCTTTTATAGTCTATTAGGGAGGAGACAGATGAGTGATATTAACACACACATACTCCCCCATGGGAACATGAAGAGCTCAGCCAGCTGGAGAGAAAGGGGTGGCACCTAGAGACAGGGAATTGGGAAAGGTGTTCTGAAAAACAGCCTCAACTGAGTCTGGAGGAAAGTGTGAAGGCATCATCAGGTAAACAGGGACAAGGAAGGTGTATCAGACAAACTGATACAAGTGAGCAAAAGACAAAGAACAGTGTATAAACTAGAAGATGCAGGTAATATGTTGTAGAAATGTATGATTTGGGTTGGATTATTAGTAGAAGTGACAGGAGAGGCAAGAAGGGACATCTATTAAACAAAGGCTTAGTCGGATTTGCATTTTAGAAAGATCATCTTCCATCATTATGGAAGGTGGCTTTTGAGCAACATGAAGAATGGCAGCAAATTTGAGGCCACTGCAACAATCAAAATGACAAGAAATAAAGGTCTGAAATAGAGTAGTTGTAACTTAATATGAGGAACTGAGATATATTGATAAGGCAGTGTTGATAGAAAATGAATGAATGTACCTGGGCCAATGGATAAAGGCTGTTAAAATTGGCATTGATATTAAAACTTGCTACCTTATCTTCATAGTACCACCCTCTTGGAACCATATAAATATGTAATTTTATTCCTTAGCCAGAAGTCTCCTTTACTTGAGAGCTCAGAAGACCTTTAAATAGTATGTGTTTTCTTGCATAAAAAGAAGTAAAAGTCTATCTTTCTGATACTCCTGTCTTATAAACCTTACCATATATGGTCAACTTTTTACCCTTTATCTACATTACCTGTCTCTCAGTCATTATGAAATAGCAGCTCTGTACAAGCAAGTAGATGCAGGAAAAGATAAACTCTCACATTAAATACTTGAATGTTTGGCCCACAAAATAAATCTAAATATGAAGGTTTCAAATTTTCTATACTAAATCAACTCAATGAGGGCTTAAGAAATAGGCACCATATAATCTCCAGGTAGCAAAATCAAAGTCCCAGTGGGTAGGCCAGTAACTTGAACAGAAACCACACACATTTATATAGAGCTAAAAAAATATGAAGAACCCCTAGAAACCTTTATTTAAATGAAGTCTGATCTGTACCCATGAGAATACATCAATCTCATTCCTATTAAGGATTCTTTTTAGCAAAGATTTTATTATCAGTACCTATAATCTATACTGTAAACTGCACGGGTAGAAATCTTGAGGTGGCTCATAGTCAATGCATGTACTATTTTTGAAATGCCTGGATTTCAACACCATATGGAAGGAATCACACACTTGCTACTTAAGATGTGCTTTCTGTTTCCCATTTGTAAACAGCTTAAAGAGAGGCACAAACTCAAGATGTAAAGCAGGTTGAGGCAACTGCATCCTTAGAACGTGTCTCACCACAGCATGATTCTTCACGTAGCAGGGCTTGCAGACAGGTTTGTCATTGACCACCACATATATTTCTCCAGCTAGGATGTTGTCACAGTCAAAGCAGCAGAAGTGTTTCAGGTGCCAATTCTGGTTTTCTGCCTGGGTATACTCATTGCTGAATATCAGCTGGGAGGAAGATAAAAACAAGATGAATTACGCATTTTCCTTTTCGCAACAGATGAAAAGCTAATCATGTACAAGTATATCAACATGCTTTCTTGGGGTTTAAAGCCTGAAAATCATAACCTAAAGCTTGAACTAATGTTATCATTTAGTTTAGTCCAAATTAATCTTTTATGTTTCTGGACAGTCTTTCATTAGTCAACACAATTAACACAGACACTTGGATTGAATGATATCAAAAGTTTCTTTTATTAAACTCAATGGATGTAAATAAAGCAATTGCTGTTTGGTTAATTCCTGTTGCCCTCTGGGTAAAGGACCATATTGGGGTACAAGAGGGCACCTCCGTGCGGGTGGCTCTGGAGAACATACCTCATCACAGCCAGCACATCGGGGTTTCTCACTGTCACAGTAATGTCTGCCACAGTACAGCTTCTCATCCTTCCAGAAATAAATCATGTCGACCAGGAGTTCATAGCAGGTGCTGCAGACGAAACAAGCTGGGTGCCACAGTTTATCATAGCCAGCCCTTTCAGCATAGATGGCTGGATCGCCTTCCTTCATACTCATTTTGCAGCAATAGCAGGACTGAAAGGAAAGCCATCCCAAACAGTCTAGTCATTGGAAGACTGCCATTTCTTATCATTGGCTTCAGTAGAAATTCAGAGAAACAACTTTTAAGAGAAGTAATTTCTACAGAAATTACTAATTTTTACTAATTTTTCACTATAGATAATAAAGTATTGACAATTCTGTGAAATGGAATCTCTTAGCTTTCTCTAGGCTGCTCAAACCTACTTCATTCACCCTATCTGTAGTAATAGGGCACTATTTCCTGAATGAAAGTCACTATGGAAAGAAGAAAATAATTTTCACCTCAATTTTAAGTAGTTTCTCTCAACAATGATTACCTTAGAGCTTATTAATACTCTTTTTTTCAGGACTTAGCCTTATTGGTTGATGTGCTTATTGGATCTAGGAGAAATATATTATAGCAAGTTTAGTTCTTATGCTTTGCTCATCTGTATCATTATCGTCTTCTATTTCCAAGTCATTAGCAAAAGACTTTAATTTCTCTCTCTAGAAGAGACTTTAAGAAAAACAAGCTTGACTATATATCCACATAAATTTAAGTTTGAATTTTAGGCATGTCTCACAAGTGCAACTGAATTAACCTAAGCATATATTATTCTTATTTTTGGGACGATATAAGGAATTAACACCAAAATTATGTCTAGAAACAGATTCTAGATTAATATGCTGCATTTGAGCACCATGCCAATGCCAACTACTGCCTATACATAAAGCTCACGATTATCCTTGAAAACAGAAAATTTGGCTTTGGACAGAAGTTCCAACATAATGACTCTCTAAGACAAGTCTAAACTGAATATTAATTCAATTTATTTCTCTTACCTATTCGCTTTTGAAAACAGAGGAACGGCCCCCAAAAAAAGTTCAAGGAAAGGGAAAGAACCTGTTAAATATACAAATCTGGTCAACAGTGTGACCACTCTACTTACATACTGAGTTTTTTTATGCTCAGCAGTTTTGTCCTCCATGGCCCCCACCGCTGCTGAGGTGCTTCTGTCTCCGCCAGGGATGTACATTTGGTTGGGGCCTCGAGCATCCATCTCACAGGGAAGTTTGACGTCTCCTACTCCCAGAGCCTCGTTCTTATATTTCTTCACAAACTGTTCCATTTCCTTCACCTCTTTGGGAGACAATTCATGGCATTTTGAAGGATCTTGGTCATGTGCAGGGAGCTGCTTCGCCAGCTGCTTCTTCCGGTACTGTGCCCCTTCCGAGCCTGCCACTGGCTGCTTTTCTTTGGGCAGCATCTGCATGTACTGCCTGGCCTGCACCACAAGGAGACCAACGTTAAACGGGAGGGGCCTTGGCCATCAGGCAGTGCGATATTTTATAACACACATCAGAAACAAGTTACTTAAGAAAGAAGTGGGTTTTGTCCAATAATAACAATTCATCCTCACAGTATAAATACCTTGAGATGTTAACACATTAAAAATGGTACACTAAATACATTTAGTTATGTAAAAATAAACACATTTTTCTTCATGAAATTAAATTTTGTTTTTCAGTTTATAAAAAGATTTGGATTACCACTGTTTACTTGAGCCAAATAAACAAATGTACAATTGAAAGAGAATATAATTTTAGGTAGACATGTTTAGAATAGTCTATGGATCAACTTCATTTTTATCATATAAAAATGATATCATCACAAGATTCACATTAATGACTTAATCTTCTTAAATGATTTCCAAATGTTTCACCTAGTGTTATAAAAGTGCAAGGAGCTTGATAAAAGGCCAAATTTTTTTGCCTTATGTAGTAAAAGAAATATAACGCTGGACATTTTTTTTTTTCAGTTATAAACAATGGCAGAAATTTTATTCTTTACCATTTTAAGAGAAATCTTCTCAAAAGTAAGCTAGAAGAGCTACTAAACTGATACGAAACATCTGATTTTCATTTAATTATTAAGAATGTTAGGCCACTTCCTCAAAAAGGTAAACATATTTAGGTAGTCAGAAAAAAGTTTATGAGGTATTTAGTCTTAATACTTTCAAAGGAATGTAATAGGAGTTAGAAGTCAAAGTAATGAGAACCTCAGAAAAAAAATAGATGCAGGGTGTGTGAGGTTGAGCAGGTCACTAAAGGAATTTTCCTAAATAGTGCAGAAACTTCAGAAGGAACTCTCCCCCCACTATTATTTACCAATGCCTGATTCTGGACAGGAGGAGCCCATTCATAGGTAACTGTATTGATGGAGACATTCTTCTTGGCAGCAACTGGATTGGTCAATATCATAACATTGCGTTTATACATGGGAATTCCATCTGATTTTAGTTTTGCAATCAGTGTGGTATACTTGGTGTCTTCGAAAAGTTTCCCCACTTTTCGATCCTCTTCATTGCTCAAGAGGATATCATGTTCTTCTTGGCCGCACTTGCAGTTACGACATATTTTTCTATAATTTTGGAAATATGTAAGAAATGATTAATTACATCTAATCAATAATTATGTTCATACATTTATAGTTTATAAAATATTTTAATGCGTATTCTATATAATAGTATGCAAAGGCAAGTCCTTTTATTGGAGGGGGAATAAGTATCCATAAATTTAAACAGAAGGAAACATAAAAACACACTTTTGCTTTATAAGACTTTGAAAAGTTAGATTGTGATTAAAAAGTACATGCTCAAAGGGGCATGTCTGAGTGTAACCTTATCTGGTATTCCTTATGCTCTCACCAAATAAAAAATAAATAAAAATTAATTAAATAAAACCACAAAAAAACTATATGCAGTTTTACTATTTAAGCAAGAGGTTTCATATTTTATTCCATGTTAACATTTCATAGTCATTACTCTAGATTTTTTTTTTAAGTGAGAGATGGCGAAATTGATATAACTTTATCCATCAAAGACTATAATCTTGATTTAGGTTTATATCCTTTCTCACTTTCTTTCCATTTCTTTTGCCCTCCATTCCTTTCCCCTTCTTTCTCCCTTCTCTTTCCTTCCCTTCTTTGATTTCTTCAAACACTTATTGATCACCCACCATGTGCTAAAAGATAGATAAATGAAAGTCTCTGCCATCATGGTGTTTCTTACAGTTCAAGGATACTGCCCGCTTCCCACTCCGGTCTGGCACATAGACATTCATTCATTCATTCAACATACATCAGTGCCCATGTGCCAAGCAATGTACCTGGTACTATGTACATTGTGGTAAAATTGTGGTTTAAAAAAAAAAGAATAATGGAACCAGTTTCTGATTTCTAGAACTTACTGTCTGGTAGGGAGACGGACATGAAATGATCATACACACACACATACACTCTTTTAATTGCATTTGTAATAGGAAAGAAAATTGTAGGGTCCCTTGAGAGGGTATAATTAATTAAATAAAACTTGGAACTCGTGGAGTAAGAACTCCATGAGAAAGTGACACTTATGTTGAGATCTAGATGATGTATAAAACATAGGTGTGAATTGTGTATATGAGTGTATATGTAGGGAGGGGGGAAAGAAAGGAAAAGTCTTCCAACATTCTGGGTAGAAAGAAGAGTACCTGTGGCGGTCCTGAATTAGGAAAGAGATTGTCCCCTTAGGTCCATAACCAAAGAAGGCTAGTATGACTGCAGTGAGGTGAGTAAATGGGATGGTGACGAGGCTGGAAAGGTAGGCAGGTATGAGGTCATGCAGGACCTTATAGGACACATTAAGAAATCTGGCCTTCATTATAAAAGCATTCAGGGGTCACTGAAGGCTTTTAGATAATAGAATAACATGATCATATCTATAATTTTATTTTATTTTAGAGACAGGGTCTTACTCTGTCACCCAGGCTAGAGTGCAGTGGCATGATTATAGCTCACTGCTGCCTAAAACTCCTGGGCCCAAGCGATCCCGCCTCAGCCTCCTGAGTAGCTAGGACTACAGGTGCATGCCACCATGCCTGGTTAATTTTTTTTTTATTATTTTAGGGATGAGGTCTCACTATGTTGCCTGGGCTGGTCTTGGACTCTTGGACTCAAGTGATCTTCCTACCTCAGCCTCCTGAGTCACTGGGATTATGAGTGTGAGCCACCGCATATTTATAATTTTAAATATTGTAATATTTGCCATGTGGAGAATGGATTGGGGTGGAACATAATTGGAAGTAGGGAAACCAGTTAACATGCTAATTGTGCATCCAGTTTGCAATGGCATGGTTCGAAGTAACAGGGATACTGTAGCTACTGTACAAATGGAATTTACATCTTGAATAGTTATTATCGTGGTTCAGGTAACATGTGTCATGGCTTGGACTAGACAAATGCTAGAATATTTGACAGTGGAGGTGAACAGAAAGGAACAAATATGAAATCTTGTTGAACATGAAACGGACTAAACTTTGTGGCGGATTTAGATGTAGTGATGGTGAAGGGAAGGCTCAGTCTCTCAAAAAAAATAAAACCAGGTTTTGGGGATGAGTAAATTGGTGAGAAGGAATGTAATTTATTAATATAGTAAATACAAAAGAGGAGCGGATTTGAGGTATGGGGTGGGGAAAGTTGATAAAAGTCTCTAAAACTAAACTACTGATAAGTTTGAAATGCTTGTGAGACATGTAGATTGTAGGATAGACAGATCTAGTGTTAAAAATTGTAGCCTGGTAGAAAATATAAATGTGGCAGTTAGGGAATGATTTATAATGTATATGAGTTGAACCGATCACCTTCGCCTCCTGAGCAAGGTGTAGAGGGAAGTGAGGACTCAGAAAAGTCTGGCAGAGGAACAGAAATTAGACAAAGTGACAGAGGAAAATAGAGAAGTATGGAAACATTGTGGTGCTGAAAATGTATATTGGAACTAAAATACAAGGCAATCGAAGCATACAAATAAGAGGGGGAATCTAAGCATTTCTAAAAACATTCTAAGATACTTACATTGCTCAGGAAGAAATTAAACATATCAAGTAATTTTAGATGCTGTTAGGCTAAGTATACATGTTAAAATATCTACATAACTAAAGAAAGAAATTTACAGCTTAAATGCTCAAATTAGAATACAGGAAAGAATAAAAATTACTAAGCTGTCAACTCAGGAAGTTAGGAAAAAGTCAGAATAAGCCTAAAGTACACGGAAGGAAAATAAAGATAACAGCAGAAACTCATAAAGTAAATGTTTGCTTCTCATTAGATGCAGAAAAAGCATTAATACATTTCAACACCTCTTGTGATTTTGCTTAGTAATTTCATCAATAAAAGAGAAATAAAGGATTCTAGAAAGAGTTTCTGGGAAAAAAAAACTCAACACTCAGCATATATCATACTTAGTGCATTAATTTTAAGATCTGAAGAAAGAAAGCAACCTTGCTATCACCAATTCTAATTTGATGGTACTAATCAGAGTAGTGTGAAAAATCAAAGAAATAGAAATAATAAGGATTCATCAGAAAGAAAAAAATAAACTGTTTTTATTCACAGATATATGACTGATTACACAGAAATACAATGCAGTGGCATCAAGAAGAATTTCATAAGTTTTCTAGATTTAAAACTAATATAAATCAAAGGATTTTTCTGTATCAGAAACAAAAAGCAACTAGAAACCCAAATGAATCTCTTAGCCAAATAATAAATTATGAATTATAGATTTTTGTGTTCTGAGTTTTCTTAAAACACTATTTTCAGTATGCAAACTGAAAACATGAGAATTTGACTTGTACATTCCCAGAGAGAAAGAGAGACAGAGAGATATGGGGTGGAGAGGCAAACTACTTTCCTTGTGCCCACTGGTCAGAAATCTTTATTTGGTAAGAATTTGCTAAAGAATTTGCATATTCTGGTTCAGCTATAAAAGATTCTTTGAACGTCTGGTTATCTCATACTCCCATCTAGTGGAAAGGAGCATATTATCCTACTACAGTATGTTCTTAATTTTTGTTCTTTGGTTAACAAAAACAATGTAATTATTTATAAGACTACCACACATTGCTCTTGGATCAAGTTTAAAATCATATCTTCCTGAGGGGAGAAAAGGGTGGGGTGGGAATTTAGTTCTTAATATAGCTAAATAGATCCTTATATAACTGTGAACTACAGCATGCATCCTAATAACCAGCAAAGCGATGCCTAAAGTATCAGGGCTAGGGAACGGGCCCTGAACTTCCTTTGGAACTGTTTATGATCAGTTCCACACTAGTACAACATGTATACCACAACATAAGGAGGGTCAGATTTTAGAACTTAAAAGACAAATAGTAAAAGATACAATAAGTCAAATAAAACCTGCTGGTTTCTAAAGTATGAACTGTGGTGAGCTGTAGCATGATTAAATATACTTATTGTGAAAGTGTTGCATATAAAGAGTTATATTAACTAATAATATAAGAGCTATCTCTCTAATTTTTTTATTATTTGTGTTGGACATTGTTGGAAGGATTCACATTCTGAGGAAACCTCTGTTTTCCTATCCCATCCCTTCGATCACCAAACATACCTTTATTAAGCAAGTAAAATCAGATTAAAACAACACACTCATAGCAGCAGTGGTGAGGAAAAAAGAAGTAGCTAAAAAGTCACGCTATGCCCAACCATCAGTTTTCTAAGCAGGGAAAAACCTATGATTGATTCATTATAATTTAAAAAATCACGACTATATCAAAAGCCTCATCTGCATCCTCACTCCAGCATGGTGAACTATGGTTAACAGAGTACTTGGTAAGCACGTGACTCAAGAAGGGTGGATGGTTCTTTCAGCTAGAGCTGTCATCACAGAAGCAGCTGGAATGACCACATCCCTTCCAGATCCCTTACCTTGGAGCTCTATTGCTACAGTGAAAAGGGACGGCTACAAACCACTATGCACGAAAGAAACTATAAAATCAGCACCAGGTGCCAAGAGCTATCTATCGTGGAAATCTGTGCTATTA